TTTTAAAGTATTTAGCCTAATCAGAACATTTGATTCCAGTCAGCTTTGAAACCAGTGCCGCTAGCTTGTCCGACACTACTGCAGCCGGCTGCTCTCTGTCAGTGTAATGTCCTCCCAGCCTCAATCTGCTTGCATTCGTCACGTCTTAGTACTTCGATTCTCATATGAAGAACCGACCGCGGAATCTTGATGTGGTTAGTTCTTTTCTACAAAGTGCTAAGTACATTCTGGAGGTCTATTATTTCACTAAAGCTCTATTAACAGTCTTTCTTATTTGGTAGAATGATTAGGTTCACCACGGACTTGTACTCATCAGTGATGGCAAAGGACGAGGCAGGCCATCCAGGCTTCTGCTTTCAAAAGGTTCTCCATTTTCTTGGTTCCTTTATCTCTAACCAGAAGGAATTCGCCTGTCAACTATTGCTTCATTCGCTTAACAATCAACATTTCATTTTTTGCGACATTTCTCAAATTCCAGATCAACTCTCCATAGAAATACCAAGTGATGGCACTGGAAATGAAGCGGAAGCAGAAGCACCGGAAGATCAGACACGTACAATTGTAATTAAACGCAAAGGTGGTGGATTAGGATTGTCAATAAAGGTGAGAAAATCCGCGTTGTATCGATTATCTCACAAAGTGCGTCGGGAGCTCTAATAGAAAGGGAAAAAATAGCTTCAACTGATCAAAAATATTCAAATCAAGATTATTAAAAGGCACTACGGTTTTGATTTCAATTATCTTTTACTTATACTAACGTGTTATCTTCTTGTCGACCAAAGGAAATAGAAGTGTATTGATGTTTGTGAAAGAATGCCGGAGAATTTAATATTCTTCTTTTTCTAGCTTTTCATTTTCTTTTTCTGATGGGTCTAACAAGGGAGATACCTGGTTGAAGCAACTCACATTGAGGTGCAGTGTGCAACTTGAAACGCTGATTCCAAATCTGTCTTCGATATCTGCGAAGCGTTTCTCTGTAAGGTTATAAACATTTTCTTGATCAAAAATGGCTTATAGGACCTGGATTTCGAAGTTGAACCTTGACGCAAAACAGCAACGCAATGGTTGTACTGATGAAATCATGTTCTCATAATAAAATAAAGCTTTGAATTCTGACCAGAACATCCATAAATTCTTCCAAAAAACGCTTTGCAGATAAGAAAGGCAGATTTGGAATCGTTTCAAGCTGCATCTACCCTTATGCACCCCTTTTTGAATACCATTTTGACGACGTATCCTTCCTTTTTGAGACAATAACACTAAAACATTAAATATGTGATTATGCACGTAACGCAACATGTCAATCTCGGCTGCCCAAAAAACTAGCAGAAGTTTTGTTAATACGCTAGAACTCATTTCTTGCAGGGTGGCACCGAAAACTCACAAAATTTGCCCATCGTGATATCGAAAATTTTTCCTGGAATGCCGGGTAAGTTATTCGACTTACGTTCGTCTATCCAACATTGAACCAGCAAGTAATATGGTGCATGCATTTTAATGTGAAGAAATGCGCTGCATCCGTTTTTTGCAGCTAAAAAACAACCATTTCTAGATTCATTTTCCTTACTACTTGTCTAATTCCATCAATTCTTTTTGAAAAATACGGCAAAATTTACACACAGAATTTTTTTTTCCGTTTCCTTCCAGCCGACCAAACTGGTCAACTATACGTTGGTGACGCTATAGTTGAAGTTAATGGAGAACCAGTAGAAGGACGGTCTCACGATGAGGTGGTGGAAATGTTAAAAGCAGACGGCGAAGAGCTTCGACTTGGAGTACGACACTATTCCAACATTGCATCTTACCTCAAGTAAGTGCTCAAAACTGCTAAAAAGAATCCGCTATTCTTGTCATTTTGGGCCAGCACAATCACTGCAACCAGGAAGGTCCGGCGGCGCATTGGATAAAATTTATGAGCCAAATACATGGAAGGTGAGCTCGTAAAACTTTACATTTGCAATGAATTTGCTTAATCAGATTTATAGTCTGCTATGAAAGCCCAGTCTGATCTCGGTCTCTATGACGGTCGAGAAAAATCTGTCGGCACTGAGGGCAAGGACGAGAAGTGGAAGACAATCACAGTTATACCTCTACCAATGGCATATTTAACACGTTACCTATGGGGTACCGACAATCTAAGGTGCTTTCGAAACTTTTTTTTAATTGAATTTATTAGTACTTACTTTTGTAGAACAAATTCATTCGAAGTGCGTGCTGTAGACGGTTCTTCAACTGGAATAATTCATTGCGAAGACGCCCGTGCGCTTGAACAATGGATTGGACATATCAACAACCACATCCAATCGCTGAATCATAAGAGTATCAAGATGAGCAACAAGTATTTACATCAAAGCGAGCAGGTTAGTCTTTTTGTTATTTGTGATTTAAGCTGCTGTCATCTCCTTTTCTTTCAATGTGGGACTGATATTGTTGCTAAAGAGAATGACGTAGGAAAATATAGTATGTCTAAGAAATTATGATGTTCAACCGCTCACAACTTTCTTATGTCCGCATGTTTCTAGGCCTCAACTATTCAATTCAAATGACTAGCACAGATATCGATTTTCACTTCTAAACCGATCTCGAATCTTTTTCCCATAGAGAGTGGTTTGGAGCCTTAAAGTTGTACGCGGCTCTACATGGCATATAGCACTCACCATAACTAGTAAATTTGCGTCAAATGGTTTCAAAATTGAACTTTGCATGTCAAATGACCCCATTAGACCTTTTTCCAGTCTGCTAAAGTATTTTTAGTTGGTGTCAGCAGTGCCTCACGCCAGCGCTAAAACGATCAAGATGAAACAGTAACCCATTGTAATGGAAAGAGATGAGATCCGTTTCTAAGTGGATATCTAAGTTTTAGTCCTTCAGAGTGGATCATCGATGCCTAGAAAAGAATTGGAAATGAAAGCGTCCAACTAGTGATCACATTTTTAAGATACCTGTATAATATGTGCTGACCTCAGTTTGCCAGCGCATAGTTGTCCCTTTTATTACTTTCATGGAGCAAAACACATTCGAAGATTTTGTTAGCTAAATGCTTTCTCCTGCATGGTGGAATGTCAGCTTCAACTATGTGTTGATTTAATTGCTGTCTATTATTGGTGTTTAGATACCGATATATGGAACGAGATTACAAGCCCTCATGCATGACACTGGGGGCACTGTCAAGGACTGCACTAGGTAATAGGGTCTATCTTACTTAGGGAAGCCATTCTTAGTCGTTAGCCGCTTTTTCCGCCGATTCCTTTCGTTTCGTCCGTGCTTCAAAGCAATCGATTTTCCGCCGACAGAGAGCAGCGAAAAATCGATACATATTCGAAGCATAGACGAAAAGCGGAAAACAACTAACGGCGTATTATTGCTGGCGCGTCGTAATTACTACAAGTATACTCTGCATACCATACGAATAGTCTTCATACATTTACATAGACTACATCTACATAAAACTACAACATCCCCATGAAAAAAAAAAGGAAATTAATTGCTAGTCTCCCAAG